ATCTTTGTTGCTACATATCTAACACAATACAGCGATTTCTTAGGTTGTAAAGCTGACAAAGTAATTCAAAAAACGTGAAAGAGTTATTCAATTTTAATGTAGCAAAATAAGCAGCTGAAATGAATGGTTTTCCATTATTTCTGAAACAGATTTCATTGTGAGCACTTTCAATATTTTGTTAAATAATATGTGGAAAGTACAAAAGCGAAATTTTTGAAATTTTTATGGTGTTACCTTCAAAATCGTTACATTAAAGAATTTTTATACAGTTACAAGTTCTTAAAAAAGCTAACCAGTTCACAAAATCACTAATTTTAATTATTAAACGTATTTTATGCTTAACTAAATCGCGGACAATAAAAATAAAATCACAGGTTTGCAAATGTCTGTCATATGATCACTGACCCAAAAAACAAAAATGATTTTTTTTTTTTTTTTTGTCTGCTCAATAATCTGATACTTGGAATCTCCAATAAGATCTGAGCTAGAAAACTGCAAAACTGCATTTTATTGCAGTGTTACTTCTAGCACTTAGCTTCTTTTATCTACTTTTATTGACAGCTTTATAGTTAATTCTTATTTTACCAGCTGTACTAAAAATTTAAACCTTCCGTTACAAGCTTTTTATTAGCTTGGTCAGTTATGAAGCAGATACATGATCTCAAGAACACTCAGTTTGTTGGTGATAAACAAAGATCAACAGCAACGAGAGATAGTTCTTAAAAAGTAGAATTTAAAAAAAGTAAAATTTTAGAATCTATTTGGCAATGTGTATTCACCATTTAAAAGATTTCTTTTTGCGTTATTTAGTGGTTGTTAAGCGTATTACATACTTCATAGAATTTGAAGCAGCTTTTTGCACCAGTATCTGTAATTAGACTGAAAGTCTTTACCAAAAGTGCCTTGCATAAGGCAGCAACACGTCAAGGTTAACGTGACGTACTAGATCTTGTTTGGATATCTTTCTTGGCTGCTCCAGTTTAAATGAGCAAGTAGTGGTAACTTCCCAGCATCGACAAAGAAATTGCCTTAGATATTTTTAAGACCAAACTGATTGTCAAAACTTTTATATCTGTTATGTTTAAAAATATAAATGTTTCTGATTTTGATTAGTTTTCATAATCTCTAATTTTCTTCTAAATTTTGCATAAGCAAAGAATTTTGTTTAGATACTGCCATGATTAATTGAAGTATACCGGGTACTTTTGTTTCTTCTTTTTTCAGTATCTTCTAAAATAAATTTTGTCAAACTTTCAGGTGAAATCTTTACTTAAATACTTGAGAAAACAATTTTTGCCTAAGAGCAATTAAAATCACATTTAAAATCACATTTTCTATACTGTACAGGGTAGACTTTTCAGCTTTTTGCGCATATATATCGTTCATCATTAAAAAAATAACTTTAACCTTCTATTATTTTACTTACCCAGAATATCTTTTGCTGTTATTGATAGAAGTTGATCACAATTTTAAAAAATCAAGTATTTTCAGTATTATATTATTAAATTTGCAGTACACTAATCGAGATTTGCTTATTCTGGCAAATAAACTACAAATACTCTAAAGAACTGTACATAAAGACAAAAAAGTTAGTTAACATTCTGACAGGTTGAAATTGACATTTTTGAAATTTAAAACAAAAGATCAGTACAGTTGTCTCCAATATTTATTCACAATTGTGCAACAAATTAAGATCATTTTTTGGGCCTGTTTTACGCATTCCGTCGATGAACGCCCCCTCTTTACCATCGACAAATTCAATTACTAACTATCTTATCTAGAAGAGGAAGCTTTTTCAAAAATGGGTGAATACTCTATAACGCCGGAAAGCTACAATACTGTGAAAGATGCACTGCAACTGCACTATGGAAATCCATCACAACCGTTCCAAAATGTTGGATTTGACTACGCAGGTCCTTTCACTGTTCAAACAGATGATGGACATCACGAAGTCTGGATCTGCTGTTTTACTTGTCTAACTACCAGAGCGGTCCATCTCAAAACGGTGTATTACCTTTCAACGGACACGTTCATAAATATTCTAAGAAGGTTTTGTGCTAGAAGGGGATGCCCAGAAAAAATGATCTTGACAACTCCACTACGTTTAAGGCGGCTGCAGATGCCCTCGGTATAGCACGCACAGAAACCGTACAAGAGTTTTTGAATCGAAAAGAGATCAAATGGAAGTGGACCACATCTTTTGCAGAGTGGCAGGGAGGAATATATAAACTGCTAATTCAGAGTATAAAAATCGCACTACAAAGGACTGTTGGGAAGGAATGGATCAAAGAAGAAAATTTCCAAACGATTGTTATTGAAAATGATGCAATTTTGAACGATCGTCCGTTAACCTATCTGGGCAAGAACAGTTTAGACGTAATACAGCTCAACGACTTTCTGCTACCGCAAGCAGAGCTCAACCTAGCAGGTCTCGAGGAGGTGGATGACAATGACAAAGAATACCGA